ATCAATGCCCGCCGCCCCAACAAAGAACAACGGAGCGGTTCTGCGTCAGATGTTGAGAGGACATCTAGCAAGTGGGCCGTACAACTGAGCGGGTGTTAGAACTAGAACTGCTGTAGCACCCTCCTCGCTCGCTGTGAAGTCGCGAAAGTGGGACATTCTCTTAGCTGAGGGGCTGGACTACATGCACAAGGAATGACGACCACGAGTTACTTGAGCGTGGTTCTTCCTTCAAGCCGTTGTTGTTTTGGAATTCAATCTCATTCCCAGATGATGCGGAGTTGCAATTAAATGTGTAGCGCATCCCTTGCACCCTTCTTTTGGTTTTTGTTTTTACAGTTCAACAGCAAGAGGTAAGTCTCAAAGATAACAAAGTATGCAATTTATCACATAGAATTTATTTCATCTAAACTCAACAATATTTCCAGTTACTAGAATCTACAGCCGAAGATTCCAAACCCGCGAGAGATTCTCAAAATACGCTTGTTCGCCAGCATTTGCAATTTCAATGCCGAGGACGTTGATAACCTGAAAATAGGTATGTCCATTACGGTATTTATTCACGTAATCAATCAGAATTTCCCTTATTTTTGGGACAAGTTTGAACAAGCAGGAAATGTGACAGCGCGTGGACGGAAATCCGAGCTTATAGCAATGCAGTTCTGCTACACGCTGCTCTTTGCGCAAGGAGCGTAGCAAAAATTCATTGTTTGTGGAACGCGTTTGAAAACAGGGAAGTATGAGCACGGTGACGGAAACCCTCTTCAATTTTTAGCGCTAATGTGCACGGAACAAACGGTTTTCGTAATCTACGCAAAGGAGAACTGGAAGGCTTATTTCAGGCCTTTTCTGTTTTTTTTCTCCTTTTATAAAATGGGAAACAGCTGCCCCGCCCTCCTTGAATGCGCAAGGCCCTGTGGATGATATCATTGGCCATGATACCCACCTTTGGTAAGGTTTTATCCTTGACGATTGTATGTTGTATCCGCATTGGTTGCTGTCGTTCATAAAGCAGAAGAGAATGCCGTCGATATGCTGGATGAGAGAGTAATAACGAAAGGGGCACGAGGAATTCGAATACTGCGGATAGCTGAAAATACTTCTCATGAAAAATGAAAAACTGCCACTAAAAACTAAAACACTTAAAAACACCTGAAAAACACTAAAAAACTACTTTCCTACACTAAAAAATGCACTCCTACAACATCCATCCATAAATTCCCAGGAATCTTCCAAGTTACTCATTAGTTCATATACTTTCCCACTAGAGCTCCATAAAAGACAGGTAAAGTGCTTGGGTAGGAAGACGAGTGATCTCCGAGGGTACCAAATATTTTTCCTACGTAATAGCATGCGACAAAGAGCAAGCAATGTGCTTCTTCAAGATGAGTTGCTTTTTTTATCACTTGATAGATCGGAACACTATCTTTCTTTTATGGTGATGAGTTAATTTTATGGTTTTAATTGCTTTTTTCGCTATTGTTTTCGCATTTTCAGGTTTTGTCTGCTTCTTTCCCATTTCTTCCCCTTCTGTTTGGCTTCTTTTTCATTACTGTGTCACTGATGTGTTCCTGTCTTTGCTGAGAACACTCTCTGACACGGTTTTGAAGACTAGAGCCGCTTTTACACCCGTGTTCCCCCAAGTGCCCGTAGATAATGCCGGCTGGTGAGTATTTCAAT